CACATGGAAATACTGCCTCCTCACAAATATGTGCAAAATGTCTTGTACGCCAGAGGACTGGTGAGTGGCTAATTTAACACCCATTTTTAACAAGGGATCCAGGGAGCTATTGTTTATTACAGGCCGGTTAGCTTTACATCTGTTCTGGGTAAATGGCTGAAAGCATATTTGAAGATAAAATGAATAAGCTCACCAAAGGACAAGCCCCACTAAAAAAGAATCAACACGACTTCTGCAAAGGTAAGTCCTCCCTCGCTAACCTATTAAGAGTTCTTTGACAGTGTCAACAAGCAAATGGACAGCAGGCATTGTTTGCTTTGATTTCCAAAAGGTTTCTGACAAAGTCCCTCACCAAACGCTTCTGAGCACACTTATAAGTCATAGAATAAGAAGAGGGGCTCCTCTTATGGATCAGTAACTGGTAAAAGAATATTTATTTATTTATTTATTTTATTTAAAACTTTTATATGCCGTCCCTTATGCATGGCATCTTGGGATGACTCACAATCACAAAGAATAGAAAGCAGAAAGTGGGAATAAATGATGTAACGGAGGAATCTAACTGGTGGGGACCCACAGCGTTCTGTAATAGAACTTATGTTTTTCAACCTATTGATAAATTAACTGGAATTAGGACTAAGCAACATTTGCTGATGACATCAAACTCTTTACGATGGTTCATAGAAACAAAAAAACAGAGTGAGTCAGAAGGGGTCTCCCAGGCCATCTAGTCTGACCCCCAGCTCCAGCTGGCTCCACTCATGATATGCCTACCATGTGCATGTCCTCCCAAACCCAAGAGGATTCTGAGGAGCTCCAAAGGGATCTCTCCAAGCTCAGAAAATGGACATCAAAATGGCAAATACATTTCAATACAAGTGATTGCAAAGTAATGTATATTAGGGCAAAAATGCGCCTTCAGATATGGACCAATGGAATATGAGCTAGCAGTGACCAACCAAGAAAGGAATCTTAGGGTTGTGGCGGATGGCTCAATGAAAAAGTCAACTCAGTAAGCAGCTGTTGTGGAAAAACCAAGACCCACCTTAGGCATAAGCCAGAAAGGAATTGAGAATAAAACTGCCAAGACTGAATTTATATATAGTTAGTACTAACATGTTTATTTTCCAAACAAAAAAGAAACCCTTAAGTTTAAATTTTATCTTTTAAAAATTGCCCCAAAGGTAGGTAAGTGGGCATAAAAATCAACTTTATTCAGCTTATTCTACTTGTAGCAGCTGAACTGGTCTGAAGACAGAATCATTCAGAAAGTAATAACTAGTTGATACCCCTCCATTTATGGCACTGGGTTCAGGACAGCTATGATACCATGGCACAAATTACTTTGTGAGTCCTAGAAAGGGAAGCTGTCCTCATAAAACTCCTAAGCAGAAATGTTATTTAAACCTTTAAAAAGCCTGAGTGACCTGTGACTTCCTTCTTACAAAGTTCACATCAAGTGAGCTTCAATCAGTCAGATCTGTTTGGGAAGCCAAAAAAGGGAGAAAATTATTTTCCAGGAAATTGCACTGTAATTGATCAAAATGTTTATGTTCCTACTAACCTGGCATCTTAGCATGCTGTTCAAAAGAACTCAAGTTCAACCAGAAATGTAAAGGTTGGATCTTTTAAAAAGCTATTTAATAACTATCATAGATGTAATACAACAGAGAATACTTACAGGGTTGATTAAGAAGTCAAAGGAGAGCCAGTGTGGTGTAATGGTTAGATTGGGGGACCAGGGACCCAGGAGCTCCCGATTCTAGCCCCAGTTCAACAGTGATGCTCACTAGTTGACTCTGGACCAGTTGCTCACTCTCAGTCCAACCCCATCATGCTCACAGGTTTGTTGCTGTGAGGACAGAATGGAGTGGAGATGATGATGATGATGATGATGATGATGATGATGATGATGATGATTATAGCATTTCTATGCCGCCCCTTGCCGAAACCTCGGGGCGGCTTACAACATGATAAAATACATTGAAATACAATAGTACATAATAAATTACCATTAAATATAAAAATACAAAGAATACATTGATTTACAAAAATAAAATTAAAATTATCAGTATAAAATAAAAATATAGGAGGAGAAAGAGAAGGAAGAAGAAGTTGCCCTGGCCAGATCATATGTTTTAACAATTGAAATGATGTTTAAATAAAAAGGTTTTTACCTGGCGCCGAAAAACCAGTAACGACGGTGCCAGGCGGACCTCTCTGGGGAGTGAATTCCATAGGTTGGGCGCCAACGCAGAGAAAGCCCTCCTCCGGGTACTTACTCTCCTAATTTCTTTCATGGAGGGTTCCTGGAGAAGGAACTCTCCCGCAGATCTCAAAGGGCGGTTGGGCATATACGGACGTAAGCGCTCGTTCAGGTAGCCAGGACCCAAGCCGTTTAGGGCTTTGTAGGTCATAATCAACACCTTGAATTGGGCCCGGGCTTCAATGGGAAGCCAGTGAAGCTGACGGAGGACTGGAGTCATGTGAGCATAACGCCCCATCCCCGTCAGCAACCTGGCAGCTCTATTTTGCACCAATTGAAGTGTTCGGACTGTCTTCAGGGGAAGCCCCACGTAAAGCGCATTACAGAATTCTAGGCGGGAAGTCACCAGCGTGTGTGTCACTGTCGCCAGGCAGTCGTACTCCGGGTAGGGGCGCAGCTGATTAATCAGCCGAAGCTGAAGGAAGGCGTTCCTCGCTACCGCTGTCACCTGAGCTTCCAAAGAAAGCTCCGGGTCGAGGAGTACTCCTAAGCTGCGGACCTTATCCCTAAGAGGGAGTGTTGCACCATTCAGGACCAGGTCAAATCCACCCTCTCCGAAACCCGATCCGCCAACCAACAGGACCTCCGTCTTGTCTGGGTTGAGTTTCAGTTTATTGGCCCTCATCCATTCCCTTACCTCGGCCAAGCACCGGTTCAGCACAGCCACTGCCTCACCTGGATTAGTGGAGAACGAGAGGTAAAGCTGGGTATCATCAGCGTATTGATGATTCCGCAGCCCACACCTCCTGATGACCTCTCCCAGCGGTTTCATATAGATGTTAAATAGCAGAGGGGATAGAATGGAGCCCTGTGGTACCCCATGGCATAGCTGCCATGACGTAGAGACATGGTCCCCCAGCACTACCTTCTGGAATCGACCGTCGAGATAGGAGCGGAACCACTGCAAAGCAGTGCCTCCAACCCCCAATCCCGCAAGTCTATCCAGAAGGATACCATGGTCGATGGTATCGAAAGCCGCCGAGAGGTCCAGAAGAACCAACAGGGATGTACTCCCCCTGTCCTTCTCCCTGCACAGGTCGTCGTACAGGGCGACCAAGGCAGATTCAGCTGCTTTGAGTTCCTCACAAGAGGGAAAAAAGAAGGATATAAAAGAATCATCAAGTTAATATTCCTGTACATTCTCAAGACTTTCCTCCTATATTATTTACAGATCATAAAGCCTATGGGTTGGAACTAAACACTCCATAAGCAGAAGGCTACTCCAACAAGAAGTTTTGCCAGCCTTCTTCCTCAGTACAAAGCCGCTCAGGTGAGTTTGGAAAGCTCCTGAACACAGTCGACATTATTTGGTCCCTTTGACCTTCTCAAGAACCTTTGCAAGAAGTGAAAGGAATCACACAAAGGAGCAGAGGGCAGGAAAGATTGCTGATTGAAAGCTTTTCACTCCAGAACATTTAGAATTCAACCACTTTCTTGCAATTTAAATAGAAGCAAAAATTGGATAGTTAAATAGACTAAGTTCTGTGAATATAGAATGTATAGGAAAGAGACATTTGGGAAATCAAGCACAAACCAAATGCTGAATTTCATATAACATTTTATTATAATTTGAATGTATGAAAGTATAAATTTTCACATTATATATTCTCCTTTGATGCATATCCCACTAGGGAACAAGTCAGAGCAAGACCCACTAAGCTGAGCAAGCTCCATTTATCCCAACCCTGCCAGTTCACAGTTCATAACATTCTTGGATAACAGCCCAATATCCATGCCCATATCTATCAATCCCAGATGAAATCTGAGTAAGGAATAGTTAGTCTGTAAATGGCGCCTCTCAACGACACGGCACCTTCCAAGAACTAGATCTTTGTGCCAGTACCGGCAAAAAGCCCAGTTCCTGTTCTAGGGCCTAGAAACGATATTTTCACTTTCAGGGCAGAAGGACATCAGTTGAGTTGTCAGCAGAATTGCAGTGTAAAGTGTGTTCTTCTGTGCTGGAGAGCTAAAATAAGGCCATGTGTCTTCTCGCAAAGAATTTCAGAGGGGCTTTAGTGGCCATCTAAGACAACTACTTGTTCAGTACAATCTTGCAGCTGCGATATTGATGACAGATCACTGTCTGGCCCTGGTTTAAATGAAGGACCCCCAAGTAAAGCAGTCTGCTCTTCCTCAGTCAAAGAGCTGCTGTCTACAGAAGTTTCTTTTTGGATCCATGAGGCTTAAAGTTGCATTCTAAAAAGCTTACAGACTAGTTTTCTGATTTATTGGTATTAGCTACATGACAGTTTTATCCCTAAAACCGTGGGCATCAAGCTTTATCTAAAGAAATTAGACGCATCACTAAGTATGACCACACTAGACAAAGTATTGGCATTTTATGTTAAGTATTCCTGCTTTGTAAGTTTCGCAGCTTTGGATTTCAGGTTTGCAGCACAATCACAGCTTTGGATTTCAGGTTTGCAGTGCATGAAGCTCCCCACCACACCAAGATCATAGTCACTCCATCCAGAGCCTGACAAATTTTATTCTGAAAAGTCTCTCATTTTGCTTTCCAAACATAACAGCTCCAAAAGGAGAAGAGCCAGTGTGGTTTGGTGTTTAGAGTGTTGGACTGAGAGCACAGGAGAAATGTGTCCAGTCCCCACTCAGCCATGAAGCTCCCCGGGGGGCCCTCTGGACCACTCACAACCTCTCAGGGTTGTTGTGAAGGTGAAATGTGAAGCACTACAGTGGGACATAAATGTGGAGTAATAATAATAATACTACTCACATGATTCCTCTTAGGTTCTCCTTCTTGTATTGATGCAATAATTGTTTCAGAATAGCTAGTGGATCCAGTCCGATTATCTGTTGCCTAATATTGCAAAAATAAACAGCAAAGCAAAGCTTTAATTCATTTTACTCCAACAGCCCTCCTGTGTTTTGCTTCCACAAACAGAGATAGAACTTTGCAACAATTCCAAAATGGACACTAACACATGTCAAAAGTTTACACTGCCACAAACTAGATGCTACATATTGAAGAATGTGCATTTGTTATGAAATGTAAAACAACAGAAATCTTTTGTCCACGAAGCAAGCAAGTAACACCACACTATACAGACTTCAACAATTGGTGAAGGTGTGTGCTGTGACAATTTACAGTCGTAGCTTTAAAATAATTCTCAACAATCTGACTGTGAATTGAGAGGGAAGTTTCTGGGTTCTATTGAACCCAGCAGGCCTTACTTCTGAGGAGACATCCCATTATGACAAACAGCCCAAGCATGTCGCCCGACTCTTCCACACTCAGCTCCTGCCTACTAAATCTGTAATTTTACACCTGAGGGTTGTTTTTCTTTTAAAAATCCACACCATGAACACAGACTAACCTACAATTGTTACAGTCTTCTAAAATGAAAGAAAAACGAAAGAAAAAAAATACAACCAATCCGAGACAAACATGCACCCTTAAGCAAACAGGAAAAAAGTATTCAGCTGTCATCTAAAATGATACAGCAAGGCCTGGCTCAGGTCATTGAAGGCTTTCTAGGCAGCAACCAGCATCTTGAACCAGGCCCACAGATAGGCACCAGATATTTGTTTGTTTGTTTATTTATTTAAAACTTTTCTATACTGTCTCATCACAGGCATCTCGGGATGGTTTGCAACACCATAATTATTAGCAGAGATGCAGTATAATTGGTTCGGTGCAGTGGAGTCAAACTTTCGTCAGCCCATGGACTGAATATTATTTCAGAGAAGCTGTTGGACTAACACTGCGAAAGACAAAAGGGGTGTCATTAAAGGTGCAGGGAGGGAAAAGGCAAAATAACAAAAAATACCCCATATTTTAGCTCAGTGCTGTTAGCTCTAACTACTCATCCTAAGCAGAGGCATTTCAATCTTTTAGAATGGTGAAGCAGGGAAAACACATGAAAGGCAGGAAGCCACCAATGGGCTGTCAGTCAAAAGAAATGGATGGGGCCCTTTTGGAAACAGAGAGACGCACTGTGACCCCAGGCAGGCTGGAATTGGCCCAATGCCCTGACACTCAGCTGTGCTCTCAAGGGGGAAACAACATAATTTTGCCACTAGGCAACTAGTCAAACTTTTGACTAGTTTTTGACCAGTTCAAAACTTCTGAACTCTCAGGAGCAGTGCAGTGCAAAAACCAATGACAATCTGATTGTTATCACCAGGGGGTTTTTTGTCGTAGAATGCTCCGGAACAGCGTTCCGGCACCTTTTTTTTGACGGAGTTTTCCAATGGATTTTTCCAAGTGATTTTGAATCGCCCTGTCGGGCGCAGCAGGTTGGCAGCAAGGATCATTAAAATAGTGCATGCGGGCTGCTTATGTGTCCGCGCTGATTGTGAGGGTGCTGCTCGGCTTGGGATTGGTCGTGTGGTCGCGCGCTGAGTGCTTACTGCCGGAGGCAACCACAATGTTTCTGTGTGTGTAGAGTGACTGGCTACGTGCAAAAGGTAAATAAGTTCTTTATTTCAAAAAAAGTTGGTGAATTGAAAATTTTTAGTGTAAAAGTGTGACCCCAAATTTAAAAATGAAAAAAATTACTAATTACTTCTCATCCACCGGTCCTGCTAATAAAAGATTACCCTAAAAAAACCCTAAATAAAAGATTAACAAGATGCGAGTTCCGGCACCTTTTTTTTTTTTTTTTACAAAAAAAGCACTGGTTATCACTACATAATGAAATGCACAATGCAGACATACACAGACTGCCTTCAAAATACAGCTCTTACCTTATTAATTTCTTGGTGACTGTGAATGGTTTTATTTCCAATTTTTGTTTCTGTGTAGGATTCATTGTGATAATTGGCAGGCAGCTTCTCAAAGTCAATTCCTGTTATCCTTTTAGATCCTTCTTCCTCTGCCTCCATCTAGCAAAATCATGATTAAAACAAGGTATATATTACTTCTATAATGTCTAAGCCAATGAACTCATACTTCTTAGATACCACTCAACTAGTTTGCGCATTACAATATAGTGGTGTCATCACCCACAGAAAGCAATCAAATCTGCATGAAGAAACCTCCACGCTTTCAAATATTTACTGCCTCATAAGCCATGATCCAAAAAAGTGTGAGACATGAGAACTTATATAAGTGCTATAAGAGGTAATATATTTTGGAGAGTTTTTGGTGGCAGAAAACAAAAAATCTTTTTAAGAGGTAAGAGGTGTAATTTTTGGATAGGTACTGAGGCTTGGCAGTAAAAGCAGACTAGAACTCAGAAGTAAACATTTCTCAGGGGGGTTGATTCCCGACTAATTGGAATATCTGATGCTCTTATTCCCCCTCTGCAACTCCTCCATTGCATCTAAGGCAGCTACCTGAGTAAAGACTTTTACACAATTAATGCATCTATCAGACTAAGCTTGGCCCCTGGAATCTTTTGAAATGTTTTTCCCTGGGATTCCATGTCCAGATGTTTAATCTAGAGGAATGAGTAAAAAGGTGTTTAAAAGGTGTTTTAGCCCAAATGCTGCTTTAGATGCAGGGCTCTTCCTTTGGAAAAACCTTTTTTTTAACTGCATTCCTTCCTGGGGGAAATGTGCACTGTCCACCTGTTACACACAAATCTGTTAATATTCCAATACTATGCTACAGATACAGTTCAAGCAACACAACTTGTGTGGTCCACTTGAAAATACAGATATAAATAGAAGTTAATCTTTGAATTAGGAATTACTGTGTGGAAGCATTCCCTGCTTTTTTTCTTACGCCATTTGATTGTTTGATGTAAACTATACAAATATAAACTGTAGCAGAACATGGAACTATTTAATGTGTTCAGCATGGAACATAATCTCAGAGAAAGAGAAAATATGTGTCAGACAGGGCTGTAGAACTTTACCTGTCATGAAGGAAAGTCCAGAAAAAGGATAGCTAGAAAAAAAATACAGAATGCCCCCACCTCCACACACACACTAGAGACTATAAAAACTTAGAGCACTTGGATCCCAGCTGTTACTTTGCCCAGTGTTTGACCAAGAGTCCGTTTGCTGTCCTTTGCTGTTATTTATTTGTTAAAAGAAAAGAACTGTCCACGCTTCTTCTTCCATTATTTGCTTTTTCCTTTACGTTCACAGACTGATACCTGGACAATCCTAGCGCAGGAGAACGGAGGAACAGTGTTCTGTTTGCTTTTAGCAAACACATAGCAAGCCTACAAAGGTCGGAGCAGCTGCTTGCATGCATTCCAGAATCAATTAACCATCCATCCACTCCCCTGGAAACATCTTGCTAATTACCTGCCACATGTTCATATTGGAAAACTTCTTTGCTCAGCATTTCCATGATGAAGGATCATTAGGGTCCAACCTGTGTTGGATCATGACAAACACTTAGTTGTTTTGTTCCCCATTTTGACTGCTTTGGATGACCTATTTTTACGACTCCCACCTTGTTGGATTCAGAGTACAAATAACACAACAACCCAGAAAATCTATTGGAGGTACAGATTCAATAAATCCTCCAAATAAACATCAAACTCTGTTTCACAGGTGATCAGCCTCATCTTCCTGGGAGTGCTTAAGTACAAGGTCCAGAAAGGAAGGAATTTTCACCATGAGGGGTGCAGAAAACATTAACAACACAACTGTATGATCCACCTTTGAATAACATACAACCAACTGCAGCCCAGAATACACAGACTTGATGAATAGTCCCAATTTCAATTAAATTCACTGCCAGGTAAGCAAGCAAGGATCACTACCCTAGGATTAAAGCTCCACTTAGACCAATAGAGCATATGTCAGAGTAGGTGTATTAGGACTACAGTGTTAGACTATAAGAGTACAGACAGGAAGATACAGCTGCCAAAGTATTTCTGCTATTATGCCGGTCAGTTAAGAATTAGCTGAAAACAGCTGTGGAAGAGACATGCATTTATCAAAAATAAGCATGATTGTGCTAAGGTAATTCCAAAAGGCCCACAGGCATTTAGCTCTAAGTTTCAGCTACATATTCCTCCAATGAAAGAAGGCATGCATAACAGAGCTAAACAAGCAAAGTGTGTTTGGCTATCGGATGCGGCCATCAGGGGTTTAGTATATGCACTGGCTTGTCAAGGATTGGTCAGCTATAGGTATGGGTGGAAGAGCCCATTTGATGTAGTGACTGCAATGTGAATTCATACCCCAGTGTGGGTCAGTTACTACCTCATAGCCTAATCCACACTGTAGTGTGGTTGTGCGAGGAAATAGTAAAGGAACCACCGCACTGGCCTGTACCAGACTCACATTTAACGTGCTATGAATTAAATACTGTCTATTAATCACAGCAGCACTGACTGGTAGAAAAGATACTCTTTCATGCTGAACTATGCAAAAATCAAGTTTCACTGTTAAGGAAAAAGGAAAAAAGTATCCTTACAGTGCAAATATAAACCACTAATGGAACATATGAGGAAATATACTGCCATAAGCTTAGCAATAACATTAAAGGAAACTGCCTGAAGGTCTGTTTATGAGGAAACAGAATTCACACATTATATTTACGTGGAGTCTAATCAATAAAAGCTTCATTTGCATTAAAGACATAAGTAAAGTACACACAGGTTAATCATTTTTGGTACTGTTTTATATCTTTTCCTGTGAATCGCTAAGAAAGATTGTTGCTGTACTAATTCTAGCAAGAATTCAAGCTATCCCTTGCCAAGTCGCAACTCTGGATGCTTCTTATGAACATATTCAATACAGGGTCCTGTTTTATGATCTAGGAAGAAGGTGCTCCTGAAATCTGTGGCCCTGGATAGGGTTGTACTTGCTACCGTTGCTGCCCCATCACACGTAGAACAAATTCACTGAAATCAGCAGGATTTAAATTAGCCCTGACTAACTTAAGTCCCATTAATTTCATTTAGCCCACTTTAAGTATGACTAAGTCTGAATCCAACCTATCAACCAATACATTAGATCTGAGATGCATCTGCCCAATTTCCAAAAACTTCTTTCACATGTAGCATCTCTACTAAATGAACCTCCTTTTTGTGAACTTCACTGACCTGCCCCATTCCAAAAATGAACCTTTCTGGTGCTCGCAGAGGCACAAAATCTGCTTTGTGCAAGCAGTGGCTCTTTCCTGCAGGATGGAACTGATGGGGCCTCACATCCTCCCTCTTCAGTTCTTAAGGTTGTAAAGAAGAACTTCAAAATGGCATTTTCCATGTTTTGGTTTCCCATTTCTGCACTATTATTTAAATTAACAGACTATAATCATCCACAACTCAGTACACTTGCAGCATTTTGAGAAAGCAAAAATTACATCCTTGGTGCAATGGACAAAGTGGGCTGTAGTCCATGACAATGCATGCCCATCCACCAACTGGATGCCCTCCAGATGTTTGGACTACAATTCCCATTAATCCCAGCCACATGATCAAAGATGAAGGGCACTGTAGTCCAAAACATCTGGATGGGGTACGTCATGCCACAATAAATGTATTAATCTATAGAAAGCCACAAGACTTGGTTGCTTTTGCTGCAACAAATGAATATGGCAGCTCCTTCAGAAATCCCGAATCTTACTCATTGCATTAGCAAGCTTACATCCAGAAACAATTCAAAGTGTGGGTTATGACTTACACAGCTTGAATGGTTTGGGATGACGTCATCTGTTATACAAATCACAAATTCTGAAGCAGAAATTAACACATCAAATTATGCATGCATGAGGTTTAAAAAGTGTAAAAGCCTAAAGAATCTGATCGAATTCGGGAGCACATCAGACCTTCCTTATTATTTCTGCAGGGTGAGGATTCTCCAGTCCTTCAAAGTTGATATTGGAGGTGCATGGTGGGAAATTGGTTCCAACAGTGATTATCTTCCATTGGATGGTTCCATTGCAGAAATATCACTGGTTCTATACAAAATGCTTTTAAAGCACTGATCAAAAGCATTAAAGGCAGACTATCCTATTCTGTCTTACAGTCTATGGAGGCAATCCTATGCATGTCTTGCTGGAACATGCTGGGAATTGCAGAGCGTTTAATCTCTAAGCTTGCATAAGATCATACTCTAAATCGATGAGTTTTAATCCTTCTGATGTTAACAAAAGTCCCATTAACTACGTGATAAGAAGGATAGAGATGGTGTTTATCGGATGTCATAGAATGTCTATTCTTGTTCTTTATTATCAAGGGAAATACTGGAGAGTGAGAAAAGAAGGACCATAAAGCACATTTCACAAGCAGAATGAAAAGCTATAGTTGAAACAAGTCCTTCAGCTTTCAACACACTACTGGAAGGCAAGCCCACTGACTGAAGTGCCATTTTTGTCCAAGTAGCCCAGGGTGCCAAGAACAGAAAGCAGGGCAGGGAAGTTCTGTCGCCACAGTATCAGCAGCAAATGCTTTTGAGAGTGCCGGAAGCTGAAGTGATACGGGGCCCATTTATAGGTGCAAACTTTTACAAAATGATGGCATGTACTCAATCTCTATTGTCTCAAGTGAGGTGCCAAGGGTCAGTCATGCTGATACAAATGTGTTTTACTTAATTGTTTTACTTAACAGAGAGAGGGAGAGAGAGGACACCTTCCATAAAGTTAAGAGTACATATTCCCATGCTGGAGACAAACTTCAGGTTTAGCCCAGCCTCCCCTATGCAATGCAATGCAATGCAATGCAATGCAATGCAATGCAATGCAATGCATGTGTTTTAAATATTAGGGACTCAACTTACAGATGAGTTAACTCCAATCTAGATGTCAGAGATTCAAAGGCAGTCCTGCAAAGGCACATTAGTAGAATTCAGCACAAAAAAGTGAAACTATATTCCTTTCAGACTCTCAAGAAAGTAAATGTGAAACAGCTGGACTGCTCTCAGCTACACAAACAAAAACCTTGTTCTCTCCATCCCCTGCCCTTCATTGATGCTGAATTCCACAAGGGAGACTGGCAGGTTTTTTTCACCCCAAATTGCATGCATTTATCAAAAGAAAAAATGTTGATTCTACAAACAAAAGAGCAGAACTTTGCCCTCTTTTTGGCCACCTCCCTCAAAACAAAGTGAATTTAAAACTCCAATATTTTGTCCTCATGCCTCTTTGCATTGTGGCCAATATGATAATGAGGGAAATAAAAATGCAGATATGAAACTTCAAAGCAAGCATTTCTTTTCTGAAGCCCACTGATAAGAAGCTGAAATGACTGGGAGACAGGCAGCCGGTAGACAGGCAATTTCCTGATTGGGTGGGAGAGAGGAACTATGAAACAGCAGGAAAGAGGGAGAGGCCAATCAACATCTGGAAAAACAAACAGCATGATACATTCTCAAACGCAACCATTATTTCAACTCAATTATATCAATTATGGAGTTGGGGAGGATTCCCAAATGCAGAATCATACACAGTAGATAGCTGTCAGGGATTTAAGACAAGTATTCAGTAAGATCCTTTCTGGTCAGCCTTTAGCCTCTGAATTGTTGCACATCAGTGCTGGGAAGCAATGTCTCCTGAAGAAAAGCTTCTATGGAAAAGTTAGTGCAAACTCCCAGCACCCTCGCACACATTTCAGGGGAAAAATGCACTTTCCTGTTCTTTCAGTGGGATGTGAAACACAGTGCCATGAATATAATCCATAGTGAATTGCTGAACTGGGAAGCAAACGACTAGCAAGATGTAAAACTTCATTCCATGTCCAGACTTCCCCTCATTCTCCGGTCACCAAAGCAAAAGTGACCATAAGACCACTCTTCGATCCTGCAAATCACATCTTTCACCATCCACCATGTCATGAATTTTCCAGCCCAGTCATAAGCATTTGCACTCAGAATCCTGTCTGGATAAAGCAGGTAGCTGCATGAAGCAGTAACAGTTAGGTTACATTGTACTGAAGACCAGGAATATTTCGAGCAACCATTTTTAGGATTACTTCAAGCATTCTTCCAATAAGTCCACTAATTCCCATGATCTTCAAAGAGGCCATCCAACCAATTCTAGCAATATGTATGAAGAGATCACAAAAATCAGCATTTCCACTACAAAACTAAGGTAAACCCACGAAGGGCAGAATAGGTCCTGAGTTCCGAAGCCCCATGGCCCCCTATTTATTTGTTTGTTTAAAGCATTTGTATGCCACCCAATTGTGCCACAGCACCTCTTCATCCTATAAGATACAGCTTCCCAAATGTAAAGGCTGTGGCAAACTTCTACCCTTGTCCTATTATTCAGTCTGAACAGGATACATGAGTGCCAGTGTGAAAGCAATACTACAGTTAGGCCATGCATATAAACCAGGTAAGGGACCCACAACTCCCCCCCTCCCCACAACACACACACACACAGTTGTTCTTAGATTACAACTGACTATGCAGGTTGGGCTGATGGAGTCCATGCAACTGGAGGACCACAGATTCCACACCCATGCTAGAAAAGCTTGTTTACTGGCATGCTACATTTTTCATCACAATTTCATCTCATCTTCAGCAACACAGGTATGAACATGCTGCAGACATTCTTTTTAGAGAACTGCTTTAAACCGAAGGAAAACCAAGCATCATCAGAAACCTTCTACAGAATTGTGTAACTTGTCTCCAAGATTTCCCTGCAGTACTTTTCCTGCATCAGGAAACTATGCACACAGTCTGAGCATCTTATCCTAGGTGAAAGAAAATATCCATGAACTGGCTTTCTGGTGTTCTTTTAAATTAAAATAGATTCAAGAAAAATAGAGAGCATTGGACTGGGGCTGTACACTCTGGGGAAACCGGGAGACCCTAATTCTTTCCCCTATACCATTTCCCCCTGTCTAACCTTCCGTCCTTTAAGGTGCCGATTATCCTGCTGGAGAAAACACACAAAACCCCATGTGGTACTTGCAAGATTTTCCCCACTGAGCAAAGTGTAGCTCTCAGTTCCCAGGAGGAAGGATCTGGAAGACAGCATGGAAGGAAGAATTAAGCACCCATCTTCTAGCTCTATCACTCCGCTAAAATCTGGAGTCCACAGAATGGCTTTAATTTAAACCCTCACAGGAGACCCTGTTCATGGATCTCCCACATCAAATTTAGTTTGGCTCTAGTGTCCTTTCCACCTGCCAGGAAATGGCTCGGCCCATTTCCTACTGTAATGGTATATCATGAAGACTGTAGAATATTGCCTGAGCAGGGGCAGGCGCTGGGGAGGCAGAGGAAGGAAAAGATTGCTAAACCATGTTTCTCTTCTGTACTTGCAAAAGCCACAATAAAAGCCACCTAGAAATTTCCAAAACTGAAACGTGCTATAATAACATGCATAAAAAGTAGTTAGGCTATATAGCAACCCTGCCAACTGTTTTCTGCCATAAGAAGCAGAACAACATTATTTCTACAGTTGCAGATTATATACATCATGAAATTACCACTGGGAAGAACCCATATTGAGATGTCCAGAAAGCAATTTGCAATATGGGAAAATTGCCTTTGCTTTATCAAATAGTAAAATAAGGTGGAGAAACAAGTTCAGACTATACCCCACCCTAACATTACTGGCCAGAAGACACATTTGCAGCTTCTGGGAAAGAAAAATAGAAAGGGAGTAAGCAGTAAAAGGAGTTTTCAATGTGCAAAGGAAAGCAGAGATTTGTAGATGATAGGAATGGGCCTAAAGCCTGCTCTTTGAGGTATGCACCTGGATTCATGTACACAAAATGAATGGCTTCTTTGTAAGAGACTTGCAGTGTTCATACAGTGTTCATTTTAGAATTATTGCTGCTGTCTTATTCCCTCCCATTCTCCCTCTCCCAGCCAGCCCACTCCCATCCCAGCCTTTGGCACAAGCGTAACTACTACTATTACAATAACCTAGTGGATGCTGCTACAGTCATTGAAACTATACAGGAGGGTGTGCACTTCTAAAGCTTATACAGCAATAAAAATGTGTATCTACATAAGTATGGCATACTGAACACCACAACCATTCAAACAGTTGGCCTTTCATGGGATGAAAAGTGTTGGGGGTGCAACAGTCCACAGCCTGATCTAATGAACAAGGTATAAGATGGATCCATCCTTTCTAACTAGGAGCCATGCAGTTTGGCATGGTGGTGATAATGTGGGGCTGGGGATCTGGGAGCTCTGGGTTATGTTCAGCCATGGAACTCCCTGGGTGACTTTGGGCCAGTCGAAGACAATCAGCCCAACCTACCTCAAAGGGGAATTGTTGTGGGGATAGCAATGGAGTAGAAGAAAACCCTAAGCCAGTTTGGGTTCCTTGCAACAGGAAGAAGGGTGGCATTAGTAATGTAATAACATCAAGAAGAACATGGTTCTGGAAATGCCATCCAATGTAAAAGATGCCCATACTGTACTAGGATACATTCTAGGCAAAGAGGACTTGCCAAGAGCACATGATGCACTGTTTGGCGAAGCTACACTAATGGCTAAGTATCGTATTCCACAACACTGCAAGCCAAATAAAACCCCAAGTATACACAACTGGATTCATGATCTATTGGCTTTAGCCACCCAGAAATAGATACATTATACCAAATTACTAAAGAAAATAAATTCCTATGGAAACATTTCCTTGACATGTTTCTTTAAAACAATTTCATACAGCTATTATGTCCTACAGTAAGAACTCCTGTACCACTCACAGAAAACTAAAACAAAAATAAATGTAATACATGATTTATTCATGCTGGTGATACTGAAAAACCCATTCAGTGCCTCAGATGGTCCACATCCAAATACACTCTTTATCCAGAAAACATGTGACTCAGAAAACTCAAGCTATCAACAGAGGAATTATTCATACCTGAACACTTCATAATTCCTTATCTTAACAAAACTTCTACCTTTTAGGAACCTCTGTGTTGAGTATCCTTCAGGCTCCCATTGTTATGATCAACCCAAGCACTTCCCTTACTCAAATACTATAATTATTTTAGTAATACTAGCACTAAATTGAGAACCAGTGTGGTATAACGGTTAAGGTGTTAGACTGGGATGCAGAAGAAATGCGTTCTAGTTCCTTCTTTGTCGTGAAGCCCACTGATGCCTTTGGGCCAGCCCCTGACTCTCAGCCCAACCTGCCTCCTAGGATTATGAGGACAAAATGAAGAGGATGAGGAACATGTAAGCTGCCTTGTGTTCCTTCCAGCAAAAGCTGTGGCATAAATATAAATAAATAAATGCTGTCATTTTAATTTGCCACAATCCTGAACCCAGCTCCCATAGTTTGGCAACTTAGGTCCGAAGATACGCCTTCACCAGCCTAAAGCAGAACACAAACCCTTTCCCCAGCACTCAGTTCCTATCCAGCATGGCAGAGGTGGATTAGGAGGACAGACTCACCTCCTTGACCGCATTCCTCAGCTTGTACTGGGTATCCTCCATCAGCTCTTCAACTTCACGGAACATCTCATTCAGGCTGGCTTCATCCTGGGGAAAGCTGAGCACCATCTCCTCTGGCTTTCCTTCTCCATCACTCTCCGAAGCAGGAGCTGCATGCAGCTCCCCAAAGAGTATGAGAAGGAACAGCAGCATGGCCTGAAGCAGCGACATCCTCAGAACCGCCTTCACTGGGTCCCTGCAAGCAAATGCCAACAAGGAAGAAGCAAGCTTATTTCCAGCCAAGGGGAACACATTTCTCCAACTTCCTTAGGAAAAACTCCCAGATCTTTTTGATAGATAGAAAAATTCCTCTCCTGAAAGTGAGCAAGACTAGAGAGTAGCCAGGCTGCAGAGTATCAGGTTGACTTCTAGTCCAGTCTCTTTCACAAAGACAGGATCCAGCTCTCTACTATTAGTAGCACTAATAGCATTAGTAGCACTATTCTATTTTAAACAGAATCAAGTGATCCCTTGGAGACTAAACGTAAGCTTTTAAACAGGGCCTTCAACAAAATGCTGCAGTGCTGAACATTCCCACTCAAGGTTCCAGCCATGTTTTCTTCCAGAATATTCCAATCCATTCACCCTCCCACTGGTTTTCCATTTTTTCCTTCCAACTTGTCAAGCTCAGACTTCATTGGGCTGCGGTTTCCTTCCTGGCTCCCCCTACCCCCTGCTTAAGCTCCCCTTGCAATATTTTAAAATACATCTTCAAAACTCGGGTTTTCTCCCAAGCCTGCTGATGGTTGTCATGCATGGACTTTAGCTACATAAGCATCGACACTCACATTTGGACTTGAGAAATAGACAAAAGCGCTTGAATACTGTGGCATAAGTTTCAAACACTGGACCCTACAAATCAAGTAGCCTCCGGCTCACAAACATATGCCACAACAAAGCAGTTATATTTAAAGTCCCACTTAATTTTGCTGGGGCTGTTGTTTTTTGCAACCAAAACATCTACTGTTCTGGAATGCGCCTGTCATTTGCCTTTGTATTTAGCCACAGTGCTAAGTGATATATTAAAAGCAGAAATAATACCACTCCCACACAGTGGATTTACATTCTGGAGACTATTTCACATATGTGTTAACTGCGTCGGACTTGCAACACAGAGATGTCTGCCAATTTGCAGAGCTGGAAGCAGCGTGTGTTCCAGACCACCTGTAAATGCTTGCAATAGCTGCAACCAGTACAACCCCAAGAAGAGATGTTCTAACTACAACCATTCAGTGATCCAGAGCGGTTCACATTTCCAGCTAAAACATTCTATTCGCCCTACGAATTGGAGCAAGTGTGGCTGCAAAGCCATTAACATCTAGAAAATGCAATCAAGCTGCATACACGAACCAACCGTAAATTCCAAATCACACTGGGATTGTTGCTTGGAAGGTTGCTTGGAAGGTTGCCTTGCATTTGCTGGGACTCACCAAAGGCATCTGTTTAATACACACATTTAATCCAAAAATTGGGGAGGAAACAGATTAAAATGTGCCTGAACAAGTCTAGACTGCACTCTCTTTGCTACTGACTATGCATAAAACTCCCGCATACGTCACAGATTAGGGCAAATGCCTCCAGATTCAAAGGGGACTCGGGTACAAAACATAAATTTGTCTAGAAATTAAGCACTATTTATTCCCATGCAGGACACTAGAACATGCCTTAAAGCAAATGTGGTTTTGAAGAGCTTCAAGCGTCAACAAGGGAGCACTCTTCACCCAAACTGCATCAAAGTGGAGGCGACAGCAACAGCTACCAAACTGGCCGATAGAACAGCAAATAAAGCACCGAGGTTAGTTCACTAAAAATACACACTGGAGTGGAAACACCTAAGAATCTTGCGGCACCTTAAAGACTAACACTTTTTATTCTGGAATAAACTTTCACAGACACTCTGCATTTCATCCAGTTTATGATGTGTTCACCTGGGATTAACAGAACTGTGTACAATTTGAGGTTATGCATCGGAGGATGCCAGCAATAGCCCAGAAAAGCTTAAAGCAGAAGAAATGTGCCACAAGATTCAGCTGTTTTCACTGCCAAAGATCGGATGCTGAAGTGGGACATCCTTAAAAGACAGATCTGCTTGTGTGCTATACTAAAAGAGCCCGGAATACGTTGAGCGTTGCCAACTTTGATGGCTCTCGCTGGAGAACTGGACCGTGTCTTACTGCTTGGCAGAGAGACGCGGGAGGCTGCCCCAGGCCAGAGTTCCCCACCTTGGTGCCTTCCAGGCGGGTTGGACTAGAACTCCCGGCATCCCGCAACTAAGGCGCTCGGAAGGCAAGGCCGGGGAGTCGGTGGCAGCCCCGTCCTGTTCCTATTTTCTCACGAGGAAGTGCCATCGCTTTTAATAGGTTACAGGACGGGTAGCCCTGCTGGCTAAGTGACTTACATTGCAGGTTGCCAGCGGGGGGATGCTGGGAGTGGTAGTCGAACACATCTGGAGCGCTGCACCTGGGCGGCGCCAGGTAGGGGAAGGCTGCACTAGACGACCCATGCCTTTCCCCCTCCCGCCAAGCTCTAACGCGCTCGCAGACGGCGGCTCCTACTCCGTGAGGCTGCGACTCTCCTCCTCGAAGACCGAGCCGATTCTTCCGCACGTTTGGGCGAAACTAAGCCCCGCTGAGCTCGCCAGCGCGCACGGGCTCCACCGCGAGCCGCCCTTCCGACGCCACCCGCGCCTAAGCCGCCCCGAGGGGTGAGTCGCCCCGAGGCTTCGGCGAATGGGGCGGCATAGAAGTCCCCTAAATAAATAAATAAGCGCTGCCCAGACGCGGCTCCTTCCAGTGCCTGCTCCGCCCCACCGACCACCGACCGCGTACCCTTCAGTGGGAGCTCCGCGGGGCCCGCTCCCTCTCCGCCCGTCCCCTTCTCGCCTCGCCAACCGCGTGTGGAGCGCGGGGGCTCCCGTCCGGCTTCGGCGCTGCCCGGGCGCCCGCCCCAGCGAGGGATGCTGCGCCGCTTCCTTCCTCCGCGAGGGATGGCGCGCCCGTCCTCGCACGCCGCGCTCCGCGCCGCCCCAGCCCAACAAAAGCGGGCGGCGGCAGCGCAGCACTCGCCGCTATTGGCTGCGGCGCAGGGAAGACCAACCGCGGCGCCGGGACACAGCGAGGGGGTGAATGCCGGAGGAGGGGCCAGGTGGGCCGGCGACGAGCGCGGGGGCCCCGCCCCGCGCGCATGGGGGGGGCGAAAGCCCCCACCTGGACGGAGGGATCGCAGACTTCCTTCACGAGGAAAAGTTGCCCCACGTCACTTCAGCCCACACGTGCCATTGATGTGGCGCAGGGCAGGCCTGCGATGGGAAGCAGAACGCATTGGGGCCGGTCAAAAGCGGCAGAGAAAGAAGCCTAGTCCTATTCGTATTGACTTGCAAGGAAACCCTGTCAGTTTTTATGGGCTGCACTTATATTGCCGAATTTGTGGTGCAACTTTTGGCACAAGATGTGCGGGGAAGAGTGGGGAGTGGTCCTATCATGCAGTGCTTCTGGCTGGACTAGGATGGCCTGTTTGCAGTAATCTAGGTGCTGGGAGCCTATTGCAATGTGCTCTACCTGGGGGTGTCTATGAAGGCTCTTTAGAAGCTGTGGATTGTGCCAACTGCTGCAGCCAGTCTAATAACCAGGACTAGAAAATCTGCTCATAGAGCACCAATTCTGCTCTGCTTGCTTTGGCTGCCTGTATGCTTCTGAGCCTCCTTCCAAAGCCTATAAAGTTATACATGGCTTGGGACTGTAATACCACTCACAACCTGAATCTTACCCAGACGCTCAAGATCAACATGGGAGGCCTCCCTCAGAGTGCCACCTCTGAGGGAGGCTTGGAGGGTGGCAACAAAGTTGGGCTCTTCTTGGTGACAGCCCTCCAGTTATGGAGCAATCTTCCCACTGAAGCCCACTTGACACCAACCCTCAATTTTTCAGCACCGAGGTAAGACTGCTCTCTTCTCCCAGGTGTCTAAGATATTTAATGACATGACGGAGCATTTATGTCAAGTGGTTCTGACAGGTCTAATTCATATTAAAATGATTTTAGCTGTTAAAAAAAATTAAATGCTGTATATTGGGAAAAAGTGTGCTCTTTTTATTGTATTTATGGTGCATTTTTCATGAATTGTTCTGAACTGCCCAAAGAGCTATGACAATTGGGAGAAATGCAGTAAATGAAATCAAAGGACTAGCATTTGAGTCTCAGATATGTACAACCCTGTTTGATCCAGCTTTACTGAGAAATAAGTGAACATGGAATTGTACAGTTAAAATAACTCCTGGGCAAAAGATGGAGCATAATTTAGTCCATAGGTCAAACTAGAAACATCCACACTGGCACCTGTGTAGTATTGATGCTCAGAATATGAGAATAAGTTCATTGCTGAGTGGATGATGTTTGCTTTGGGAGGCCACCAAATAATCAAGGGTGGGGCGGGGGAGGGGCAGAGTGCCTAATGTGATGTGGCTGCACAAAGGTCAAATTGGGCTGCCTTAATAGAAGCATCACTTCCAAATCCATTAAAGTACTGGTTCCACTTTACGCAGCACTGGTTAGGCCTCATCTGGGGTACTGTGTCCAGTTCTGGGCACCACAGTTTAGGAAAGATAAAAATCTGGAAAGCATTCAGAGGGGGGCAACAGTGATGATTCAGGGACTGTAAACAAGCCTTAGGAAGAGAGGTTGAAAGCTGGGCACGTTTAGCCTCAAGAAGAGAAGAATGAGGGGAGATATGATAGCACCCTCTAAGTACTTGAAAGGCTGACACAGAGAGGAAGAACAGGACCTCTTCTTGATCATCCCACAGTGCAGGACTCCTGATAACAGGCTCAAGTTACAGGAAGCCAGATTCCAGCTAGCTATCAGGAAGAAATTCCTGACTGTTAGAGAGTAGAGTACACAACGGAGCCAATGACCTGGGGAGGTTGTGGGCTCTCCCACACTGGAGGCATTCGAGATGCAACTGGGCAGCCATCTGAGGGGGATGGTTTAACTGGAGTCCTGCAACGAGCAGGAGGCTGGACCCAATGGCCCTCTGACCTGTTCCAACTCTACTATTCTTTGATTCTATGATAACCGTTAACAATTCATCTTGGAATTCAGGATGTATATCAAAGGCTATCACATGCTCAGTCAGTGAAATTAAGGCCTGCATAGCTATGTTTTTGTTTTAAAATTAGTCTGTGTTTAGTTGTTTAAAATTAGTCTGTGCTAAAATATGCACTATACATTTGTTGATAGCAAATTAAATTGAGGGCTATAAGTTCCATTGCATGCAGTGTGGGGCGATGGGGGGGGGTACTTCCAAGTAATTATGGTTAGGCTTACAGTTATCATATGGCAAGCAAGAGTTGTTGTGTGTGTTTTTATACTAGAGGGGAAACTTGCATGTTTTGAAGGTAATTTAAATGCATAAACCACCCAGAGAGCTTCAGCTCTGGGCACTAGAGATATAAAAGAAAAAGAAGGTAAAATGCTGTGCAGATTGACCTTCCAGGAGAAATTCAAAGCTGATAGTGACCATGATTTGCTTGTAGATTGTAAACTGCTGCTGCTTGGGGCCTATTTCTATGCAGAAAACTGTATGGCTTATGGTGGAATTTAAAGTGCAAAACCCTTTCCATTCTATATCAGAAGCCCCAGCAAGGTTTGAAATGATTTGTAACTTTTCTTCTTTCTGATTTTGAATTGAACAGGAAAATGTAACATTTTAAAGTGCTTTTATAAAAGTAGGTTAGTATCTTTTTCTTCATGCCGTTCATTATAGAGTCTTTTCTGTTTTAGCTGAAACAGGAGAAAGGTTTCAGGGGGTTCCATAGAACTTTTATAACTGGGATTATGACTGCAGTCGTTAGGTTTTAGAACTGTCTATTACACTGTGCTGCAATGTGAAATGTAACCCTATCACTCAGTAACTTCCACATCCCATCTGAAGTTTGCACAGCACTTAGTAAGATGTGCCTGAAATGTGAATCTTCCAGCAGAACCAACTGCTCATCACTGATCCCACAACTGCAAGATTTTCTGACATTCACTGGTTTGCTCTTAAAAAGAAAAAAAGAACTAGCTTAAAAATGCTGGTGGGCATAAAAACAGGACAGACTAGTGAGTCACCCATTATGTACTGCAGGAGCTATGCAACTAACTGCAAGGAAACATTAAACCTCTGAATCATTTTCTGTCTGCCAGACCATGGAAACCTGGCAGTTCACACATGAACATAAGAAATTTTTCTCTGCATATGATTTTTAAATATAGAGAAAAGTGACACCAGCTGGTTTTGAAGAACCAGAAAGAGTTATAAAATCGTCATTTGTGTGACTGCAATTGTTTTCAGTAGCTCATGCAGACAAAATTCCCATTATAACATTCCATTTTTTAAATCAACCTCAGTTGTGCATTTGATGTGCAAAGTGATCTACAGTTATTGTATCATCATTCATTTTCATCACATTGTTTAAGACACTTAACTGAGGCACAATCCTATGCATATTTAAGTGCACAACCTTTTTTCTGTCCAAACATGCACTTGATTATGCCCCAATAGTTTCATTTTACAAAGGGAGAATAAGAGGCTGAAAGAAGGGTTGCAGTGTCTCATCCCACCAAGAGATGGCGTGAGAGCAACAAAGAGATTTCCGCATGAAGTAAGAGTCTGCCTTCATTTAGACCTGGACACCCGGGGAGATTAGTGCACGCAACAATGTGGGACTGAAATCAAGGGGAAGAAGACGTTCAGTTGTCCCAGGCACAATTGTTGGGATCTCAGAGTAGGGCCCTATATGAAACTGTACTGCCCATCGAGAGAGAGTGCTAAGTCAGAGCACTTAATGCTTTAAGGCGGCCCTGGGGCCCAATGTTCTGATGTGGTGTGAGGCAGCCACATGCATTCCTTAATGAGGCCAGCTGCTATTAAGTCCAGCTTTCCAGCTACTGTGCCATTCTAAAAAGTCGGTTGCCATCTTTATGCTGCTTCTGAAATTCCAGAAGCATTAGGCTGCCTGCTTCTGAAGACAGTCTCTTAAACTACATAGTCATTGACATGATTAGAAAATAAAATCAAAAGTGGCAATCCTGGGCATTGTGAGACGGGATAGGTTGAGCGATGGTGACTGGCCTAAATCGTCCAGCAAGCTTCATGGCCAAGTAGGCACTGCAACCAGATCTCCTGAGGCCTCATCCAACACTCTCATTCACCCCTTCACCACGCTGTTGCCCTGGTACGGTATCAGTTGGCTCCACCTTTCCTCACAGGTGTGAATCAGAAAACTGGCAAGGTGGCAATGCAAGATCAGAAGAGAGAGGCAGCACTGGCTCCAAAGCACTGCTTGGGAAAGCTGCTCAAATCATTCCAGGCCTGCAAGGTGGAGAGCACCTGTGAGGAAGGAAGAAGAAAGAGCAGTCATGATGTGAAGGCCAATGTATGCAATGTGCTGAGTGGCTATTTATAAGGTTTCTCCGCACACAGAAGAGGATAGCATAAGATTACAGCCCTGACAGGACCATGGCTGAGGATTGTAAGCAGCGTAAGCTTGCTGCCCACATCCCATCTATAATTCTTCATTATTTCAGCCAGAAGAATTGCTGTGTATCCCATCAGGATATCTGATGCATTCTGCCAGTGTATCCTTGCTGTGGGCAATGTATCTGGTGTTTCGGATAGGAGAGCACAGATAGAAGAGTCCTTCCAAATCCTTAGCCAAATCTTAAGTATAAGATTGTATCTTAAATGTATATTTAAATGCTGCAGATTAATGCAGGAGTGAAGCATAGTTATGGGTGGGAGGAGTGATCCTTGGTGGCTGTAAGGAATGGTAGCACAGAGAGCAGGATCAGGTCACCAAAGGTAAAACCGATGAGTCACCGAAGAGGAGCAGTCTTTTGAATCCCCAGCAACTAATACTGTAAAAAAAGGAAATTAAGCCACGTGAACGTTAAAACCATGAGAGGAAATGGGAAGGGGGATTCACTTGAAAGTCCTCATTGGGACCCACATCCCCCTGTCTCATTCCACAGAGAATCAAGTAATTTCATTGGGACAAATCAAGGATGAAAAT